AAGACCTAAAATGGACACCTAACATCAAAAACGTCATCGAAAAAAGCATAACAAAGAATGTTCTTTCTACGCCAACTTAGGAAGTTCAAACTGCCCAAGGAGCTGCTGATACAGTTCTACAGAGGAATCATTGAGTCTGTCATCTGCACCTCTACAGCTGTCTGGTTTGGTTCTGCAACCCAACAAGACAGACACAGACTTCTGAGGATAATTAGAACCCAAGAAAAAACAATTACTACCAACCTGCCTTCCCCTGAGGACCTGTACCCTGCACGAGTCAAAAAGAGGGCCACGAAAATATTTACAGACCCCTCGCATCCTGGACATAAATTGTTTCAACTCCTACCCACAAAACACCGTTATAGAGCACTGCACACCAAGACAACTAGACACAAGAAGAGTTTTTTTCCAAATGGCATCACTCTGCTAAACAAATAATTCCCTCCCCACTGTCAAACCATTCATTAAGGCTGCATTACTATTACTATTAGTCTTCTCATCGTTCCTATCACTGATCTCTCACTTATGACTGCATGACTATAGCTTTATTGCTTGTATCCTTGCAATTTATATTGATATTGTTTCCTGATTGCTTATTTGTACCCTGTGACTATCATTAAGTATTGTACCTTATGATTCTTGACAAACGTAACTTGTCTTTTTATGTATACTGAGTACATATTCTACATGGGGAAGGCTGCAAAAGAACTTTCTTTGAGTGAACCTTACCCAACTGGGAAAAACGGGCAGGTGAATGTTGCTGTTTTATATAGGTGATCCCTATCACCTTATCCCCATATTAGCAGCTGTGTGACAGACACACACAAAAGGATTAATCAAAGATCTAACCCTGAACAGGGTTCTCATACTTTAGCACTGGGCCTATGAAATGGCAGGACAGGCAAATGTCTGTTTTAGGTAGCGAGATTGGAAAACAGAAGCCATGTTACCTCCCAAATTAAAAGCCCCTACTCAGGTAATAAGAGCAACCTCTTCAATCAACAGTCAGATATCTATTGCTACCCAGTTTCAGAAGGCAGGCAGATTAGTTGTTTTTTTAAAATAGACATTTGAAATCTTGCAGAAAATGTGCACAGTAGAGGAAATAATTGGCTAGATTTGTAACCAATGTTAAGTCATAGTTTAGTTTCACCTGTCTGTTGAAGAATCCAATATAGGCTTTCTTCACTTATAATACCGAGCCATAAACTAGGATGTAAAATCACAGAGACTAGGTTCATGCACTCAAGTAACTAAACCACATAGTAGTACTTGTGAACCTGATCTTGATCTCAATTTTATTCTAGAGGAAGATATGCCTCTTTCTTATTCACACTTTTCTTCTTCCTTCATTTCTGAACCAATTTATTTCAAATTCAGTTCTTCTGGTTGGCACTGGCTCCTGGTTTAGATTATGGAGAGGTGAGGTGAGTGGGCCCATACTTATGCCTCCAAGTTTATTCCCTCATTATTGCCATCAGTAGTGACTGCTTTTCCTCATCTTCCTCCTCACTATTATCTACGTTAGCAGAGAACCAGATATAAATAGCCAGCAAAATACTGCCATTTTTCAAATTGCTATTTACTTACTATGCTACTTCTCTGGGCTAGAAGAAGGGAATGAGTTAATGAGTAGCATGCAAATTTATTTTTTACAAGTTCAGTTCTCATCATCATCATCTTCATTTAACGACCCCATAATCCTGTGGGGTGGAGTCTGGACAACTGAATGGAACTAGCAGAGTGTTTTAATGGCCAGATTCCCTTCCTGTTGCCAATGCAGAGTTTTGTTCAGTAGATGTATTCTCATTGTGCCCAGAGAGAGAAATATCTGCCTCTGCCTAGGATTGAACTCGCAGCTTCCTGATTGTGAGGTGAAAGCTCCACTCTAGGCCACTGCTCCACTCCACAATTTCAGTTCTCATACATTATTAAAAATATTAAGGAGACTGAAGCAAACCCTTCCCTGATTCTCATGGATATAACACATTGACCTTTGTAAGATTCTGTTAAAATACACCAGTTTTTTCAAACTTGTAAAGTTGTGTAGACTTCAACTCCCAGAGTCAGCAAGAAATTGAAACCCACACATCTTAAAGTTTGAAAAAAAATTGATAGACCATCTCAATAAAGTGTGCTCTAGTCATCCTGTGAAGAAGAAACAAACCCTCCTGATATGCATTTCCTTGAATGACTGACATTATTCAACCACTGTAACTCCAAATCCATTCAGTAAACGTTCCCCTCGCACATATGTGCTAGTTGTTCCCGACTCCAGGGGGCAGTACTCATCTTTATTTCAAAGTCAAAAAGCCAATGCTGTCCAAAGACGTCTCTGTGGACATGTGGCTGGCATNCTGCCACATACCTCCCTTAGACCAATAAGATCGCACAGGATGGACCTACTCCGGGTGCCTTCAGCGGGACAATGCCCGCTGGCAGTGCCTGGGGGTAGGGCCTTCTCTGTTGCCACTCCGGCCATATGGAACGAGCTGCCCTCAGAGATCCGGGCCCTCCCCACTCTCATGGCCTTTCGCAAAGCCATTAAAACCTGGCTTTTCTGGCAGGCCTTCTGATTGGGTGTTGTTGCGTTCTTTTTTAACCTTGTGTGTCCTATTGTTTTTAAGTTTCTTTTAATTTCTTTTATTCTGTAAGCCACCCGGAGTCCTTCGGGATTGGGCGGCATACAAATCAAATAAATTCAATTCAATTCAATTCAATATGTGCTAGTCGTTCCTGACTCTAGGGGCGCTGCTCATCTCCATTTCAAAACTGAAGAGCCAGCGCTGTCCGAAGACGTCTCCGTAGTCATGTGGCCGACATGACTAAATGCCGAAGGCGCACGGAACGCTGTTACCTTCCCACCAAAGTTAGTTCCTATTTTTCTACTTGCATTTTTTACATGCTTTCGAACTGCTAGGTGGGCAGAAGCTGGGACAAGCAATGGGAGCTCACTCCGTTACACAGTGCTAGAGATTCGAAGTGCCAAACTGCCGACCTTTCTGATTGACAAGCTCAGCATCTTAGCTACTGAGCCAGTGTCCTTTCTTACATAGGGTGGATGTAAAAAAAAAAAAAGGTGGGCTTTGATCACATAACTGTGGCTGCAATCTTGATTTTTCTATCCCCCTCCCCTCTGGTCTCTGCAAAAACCCTCAGATTCAACCCTATACTGTAAAGCGTGGGGCATTCTCCGTTCTTTCAGAATTCCTGTGCAAAATCATAATCTCCCCTCTCCTCTCTTTCTAGGATATCCTGGATGAGACAGTCACTTAAACATACTTTATGCCCTATTTACAGAATAGCAGAGTTAGAAGGGACGTTAGAGGTCTTCTAGTCCAACTCCCTGCTAAGGCAGGAAACCCTATACCATTTCAGACAAATGGTTGTCCAATCTCTTCTTTAAAAACTGCCAGCGTTTGGAGTATTCACAATTTCTGGAGGCAATTCGTTCCACTGATTAATTGTTCTCACTGTCAGGAAATTTCTCCTTAGTTCTAGGTTGCTTCTCTCCTTAATTAGTTTCCACCCATTGCACCTTGCTGCCCTCAGGTGCTTTGGAGAATAGCTTGACTCCCTCTTCTTTGTGGCAGCCCCTGAGATATTGGGACACTGCTATCATGTCATCCTTAGTCCTTCTTTTCACCAATCTGTTCGATCAGGCCAGATTAAGTCTTAGCAGCTGCTTTCACACAACCCACTAAGTTTTAGTACTTTCAATCTTAGATTTGGTTTGGTGGGAAGTTAACATATTATGCAGATCAAACCTACTCAGTGAGTTTGTGGTTCAGTGGAATATGTGAACCCAGAATGTGAGTTCATTCAGAAACCAGGTTAAAGAATTTCTGTGAAGGCATTTCCAACTAGTGCTGCATTTGATACCTTGCATCTCTGCCTATATTGTTAAGTGTGTGCTTGATAAAATGGGTACAAGAGCTGCGGTGACACAGTGGTTAGAGTGCAGTACTGCAGGCTACTTCTGCTGATCACCGGCAAGCAGCAGTTTGGCAGTTCGAATCTCACCAGGCTCCAGGTTGACTCATCCTTCCATCCTTCCGAGGTGGGTAAAACGAGGACCTAGATTGTTGAGGGCAAGAGGCTGTAAACTGCTTAGAGAGGGCTGTAAAGCAGTATATAAGACTAAGTGTTATTGCTACATATGCATCCCCATCACATACACCACTGCTTCCCAGATAGAGCTGTACTCTCCATAGAGAGATATGTATTGGAGTTTCCCCATAAAAACACGAGGCATGATGTTCAGAATTCATGAGCATCAATGGGAGACTTGTTTTGGGCAGATGAATGCACTGGGAAAGGAGTCCTTTGCTTGCTATTGTAGGAAGTTATCACCCAGCCCTCTCCCAGAAAAATGAAATATCCTAGGAAATATTGAAATGGCAGAATATTGCATTCCCCTGGATGTGAAAAGGAAGAAACATGTTTAAAGAGAGAATAGCTCCCTGCAGCTTCCTGCCTCCACCCACTTTGTCAGTGGGCCATTAAGATGGCCAAGCCGGTCCCTTTACATAATAAAGAGTTCTCCCCTTC